TCTTTCTTCCTTCAAAAGCAAACAGCAAACTAAGACCCCCCCCCCCCACCCCGCACTTATTAATCAGTGGGTCTGTTTTCCACTTCAGTGAGCCCAGCTTGAACTCGAGGACCCTCATAATTGAATAATAAACAGCTGATGAGTTGTGAGACACACCAGTTGCAGATGACAAGTGGCACTCCTGTCAGTGGAGGTTTATGTGGTAGTGGCACATCGTGCCTCCCCTGCGGTTGTTCTTTTTTTTTTTTCATGTCTATCTGACTGATAGTGAGCAGCAATGCTGCACAAAAACAGGGAAGCAATAAATCAAGCAGAATTGCTGTTCTCATCAACTAAGAAGGACTGGTTGTAGACGGTCACAATTTATTCCACCAAACATCTTCTGGGCTTTCTCGTGCATTCAATACATTAGTGGGTGAAAACTAAGAACGGGCAAAATGTTAGATTTATCTGAAATAATTATTTTGATTGTGTGGATTGATTCCGTTGTGCCGTTTTAAGAAGACAGCGTGAGATCAGATATATGAGCTCCATCACTGCAAACTATCTGTTAAATACAACACTGGCAAATAGGAAATGATTCACTTTTAATTAATGATGAAGAAAGGCAATTAACCAATCATTATTTGATTCTATAGTAGAATTCAGTCAATTACTGACAAGTTTCAATCAAAACTGAGAATTCATATATTTGGAACATACCTGGCGTACTTCATCAAGTGTTGAGGGTTTTTTTTTTTTAAACAAATCAGGCCATACAACACCAGAACTTGCTTCTTCCATTTGCAAGGTGACACAACAGTATTACATTTTTTTAACATCAGGATCGTGCTGCCTGCTCAAAATTAAGAGGATGAGAGCATGACAAACTGAGCATATTTTTCATTTTTCGGAGACCAAAACAGATGTGGTCCTTTCCTTTATGACCTGCCGTGCTAAACCGAGCCAGACTAAGTCAGAAGAAACCAAGACAAAAGAGTTAAAAAGAATGCACCAAACAAAATAGGATCGTATGTATAGTAAACTGCCTGCGCTAGTTGTGGTCGGAAACGGGGTTGCTAAAAAAAAAAAAAAAAAAAAAACCATAAGTTGAGCCCTTCAACTAAAGAACCAGTTCCAAAATGATCTGTCACAGTTCTTTAAGGATTTCTCAGAATTCGCCAAACTCTAATTATAACCCAGTGCAGTGCGAATACATGATGTAATCTAATCCTCCAGACGCTAAGTGTCATCAAAGGTGTTTCTCCCCACAGGAAGCTGGACTTCGATTGTTCCCAGGACCCCCTGCTTTTCAAAGAGGTCCTGTGTGAAAGCCGCTCAGAGGCGCTGACACTTGGGAGTAATAGGCCATTCACACAAACACTGGAAGCAACTATGATGACTGCCACCCAGCCCAAAATATAAGCATGATTTCATAGAACTTGCCATTTGTTTGCTATTTCCGGTTTCATCTGAGAGGGATCATTCTTCAAGCGGACGTAGCGCAACATTATAATATGGAGATCCAGAATATGAACTCTTTAAAAGGAGGCACAAATGGATGATGTCAGTGGTTTGAGGTATAGTAAGTTGTCAGGGTATTGGCTAGTGAAATGAACAAAAGTGGAGGCATAGTGAAACCTCGAAATCACACACTCACACAAAAAGGATGTCAACTTCCCATTTGTTCTGACTTTGACCATTGGAAATAGCTACTTAGTGATGCCACACAAGGTGAACTTGATTCTATCAAATAATCACGTTTGAATAAAACACACAAGAATCATCTGGTTTTAATTTTTTTGATAATCAACAGTTTCTCAAACATTTAAATTGAACAGAGCATCAAACTGTATTTTCTTGCCTAGAAACCTAGTGACAGGTTTTAGTAACCGTGGTTTGTGAAAAATGGATCCGTAGTAACTGCAAATTTTTCATGCTGTTAGCATTGAAGGTAAGTGTCCAGATTCACTGTCACCTATTAAACTGTCGATACAGTACTGATCACTCATTGCCAGCAGATGCCAATGACGCATATTGTACAATTCTTAACAATGACAGCATAATTCACAAGTATTTTTTAAGCATCCTTAATTAGCAATTGAACATGATTTTGGGATGATGTCGTGTTGATAGTGGAAGCAGTAAAATGTGATGGCAATAAAAGTGGGCTCAGGCCAGCCTCCAGTCAAGAAGACAGTTCAAACCAGCCCCCACAAAGATTGTTCATACTTTGCATTACGGTAACACGCTGCCACATGTTGCAAGGGCCAACCTCAAAATAAAAATAAAAGCATACCAAGGTATATTTGGCCCAAAATATTTGGCAAAATTCAAATGACCTCAGGTGTCCTTGGCTAAAACAGATCCATGCGTTTATGGTTCGGAACGAGAAACTTGAAACCTACTCAACTCTCATTGCCTTGTCGTGTCATGCATGTACGTGTTTTCCAATTTCAATGGATGTTTAAAATGCAAGGAGCACATAGAACCGTCCGTCACGCTTAAGTTTGCGATGTAATGTCGGCCAGAGGGATCAACCAGTCACACTGCTGTCAATCCACCTACAACATCAACAACACACTGACTCGTTATCTTCCCTACATGTACTGGAGCTGATGCAATGCCCCGCCTCTTGTGTTAAAAAACCTATCAGCTCAAGGTGCAATTAAGCAGTGAACAGAGTAAACAGATGCGTGATCAAGAGTAGGTGTCAGTTGTACGCATCCAGCTGGAACAAATGTCTCTTGGAGGGTTCATGTTCTATTGGCAGAATTGCATTGAGAGTGATCATGCAGTAAGAGAGGGAAGCAAATAAATTGGTTCCAACCAGACAGTTAAAACGACTCAGTGAACCAGATATGTGCTGAATATATAATTGACCATAAGACATCAACGGAGAAGAAATCGACCGACTCGGTGCAGGGAAGGAGATCTGAAGGGAATGACAGCAAATTATCAGAATGAAGGAACTGGAAGAAAAAGAGGATTTGTTTAAGTTTGTTGGTACTTAAAAAACAAATAATTAAAATAAAGAAACAAAAATATATTTTTCCACTAGTATTGAAAACTTGAAAAATATTTCTTTATGAACAGAAAAAGATTTTGCCATTAATCATGAGTTGAATATGGAAATCCCGGGCTTAATCACCGTTATTATTAGCTTTTTTTTTTTTTTTTAATCAAATGACATCCCTTATATTTTAGTGCTGTCAGGCAATTGAAATATTTCAACTCATTAGTAATCACACAATTTTCCGTACTTAATCACGAGTAATCATATTTTTCTACTCCTACTATTTTCTATGAAGCTTGGACTCGATAATTTACCTGACTAAAATCCTGAAATGAATGTAGTCATCAAATCGGAAGTATATTTTAGATTCAAAGACTGTTCTAATTGCGTTCTTTGATCTTTTAATATGCTTCTGTAAAATACAACTGCGGAACAAAGCGATCAAAAGTGACTCAGCTTTACAAGCATCTTTCCGATACCGCTCTCACAATAACAAGCCACACAACCTCTCGCTTAAAAGCACCACGCTCCAGCAGCATTTTGTGAGGCCGTGGAGGTAACTTGAGCAGGGTGTTTTGCACTGAGATGATACACAACTAATATGGTATTGGAAAATTACTTTTGAGTTCCCCAACATATCAAGAAGGTAAAACTATCTGTAGCCCGTGTTTGTCCAGCAAATGAACAGAGGATCTCGGCCATCACGGGGAGGAAATGAAACTGAGAACATTTTTTTTCTAATGCTTTAAATTATCTTAATTAATAAATCTGAATTATAAATTTCTGAGGTTAAAACTTCAACTTTGACAGCCTTGGTGTATACAAATACATATACGGTAATACAACAGATTGAATTTGAAATCAGAAGTCACAAAAAATGTAAAATTATTGTTGATAACTGAATGCTGGTAACATCTGTAAAAAGTGAGGAAAACCGCAGAGATTTTCTGCCAAAAATTAAACAAATCAAATCGCATGATTTGCTTGATAGACCATAAAAATAAATTATGTGGTAAGTTCGATCTGGCCCCAGGGCTTGAGTTTGACACTTGATGTAGAGTCACAAGTGGTCACAGTGTTCAAAAAGTGTGGCTCTTTAATTTTACAGCTTGTGATGATATCTGGACATGATGGAAACAGCAACATTTGCCTTCAGTTGTGGAGTGATTCCCAAGCACTGCTGCAGCACATTAATGTCAGTGATCATCAGGTGCGTCTCTGGGAATTCATCCAATTTGACTTCATTGGTCTAAAAATCATTTATTCATTGTCTTTGTTCATCAATCTAAGCTAGTGCCATATAGTGATGGGCAAAACAATCCAATGATCTTCCACTAGATAGCAGATGGTCCATAATTAACATTATTTTTTTTTTAAAAAAAGGTTGGCAAACATTGCCTGAGTGTGCACTGTATTTTAATTAAAAAGATGTAATTTGACTTTTGCACACGCAGTACAATTCTACATCACCACAGTCGTGAATATACTGTTAAATTAATACCTCAAACAGTGTCGTCGGTGCAAACCAGTGCACAATCAACTTTATGGACGAAATAATTTGTGTAGCTATTGTGTTTGATCGAATTTGATTGGGCAGCTGCACCTCCAACGCGATGGTTAGCGAGTGTCATCAACACAAACATGAGAGTTTACTTCGAAGAGGGAACAATATGCGGAATTTCCCATGACGGGCATCAAGAGTGGGGAGTTCATGTCAGACCTCTGTTGAAAAATTACCAAATGATATTTGCACTGAAGGGTTACTCGCGCACGTCACCATTACGAAGGACCAATGAACAACATTGCATCAAAATTGTATTGGTAATACTTGCTGTCTTTACCGAGAGTAGGGAGATGACAACGCTCCAATTTGCATTCTTTCCATAACAAACGCGATTGCAACACCACTCCAGCCACGTTGCTTTGTTTTTAAACGTCTTCAGCACTCGAGTCAAAAGTAAGTCATTCGTACTTAAACGACAACGTTATGGTGCATGTTACTCACTGTGATCTTCCACCCGGAATGCGCGACGAAGCTTCGTCCTGACAGCGCCGCTCTTGTGCCGTGACACTTGACAGGATCAAGCGGACAGAAGTTTGGACGAGTATGTGGATCAGGTGGTGGGTGTATCCCGCGTCGCCGCGGGCTGTGTGGACGGCGATGCCCCAAAACACGAGATCGCCGGACTGGATCTGCTGTGCGTGTTCCGTCCGCATCCAGAAAGAGACGCGGACCACGAACTAGAACTGACGCTCCCCTGGCGTGGGCACGTGACCAGCCCACTGGGAGCCTCTCAATGCCTCGTGCCGGCGTCACTTTGAATTGGCCTCTCGGTGTCTGGCAACAAATGTGACTCGTTTTAACCACGCATTAATTGTAATTATATTTAGAATAAACGCATTGGCCGTAACGGACATTTTACATCTCCAAACCAAAAATCACATTACCAGGCTGTTAAGAAATTGCCAAAGTACAGGTGGCGCTCTAACGACCATTTTGGCCAATCAGAGTCATGAAGAAAATACAGTGATGTCAAGAGATACTAGTTAGTTCCTTGACCACCTCGCAATTCAAAACGCTCAAATCTCTTATTATGTTTCCTGAATGGAAATCCCATTACAGTCATCCCCCTTCATTGCAGGTCATTTGCCAGGAGGCATACATTCACATTCAGTCTCCACCTCCACGCACCTGCCCGCTGCAATAGATTAAATTCCGCAATGTAGAAGTACACTATTCAATGCACCCTCAGCATTTTTATACCATTTACGGCTCAATAACATTTTTACGTTCTTTGCATAATTTCAAAACAATCAAACTAATTCAAACACACATTGAGTGAGAGCAAGAGGATTGGATACCACAAAATGTATGTTGTCCTGCTCCTTCTAGTGATTGTGCCTTAAAGAGAGTAGTTTCTTGAAAATGAAATGTGAGCCTCTATCAGAAATTCAGTGTTTGGATTTGGATAGAGGGAAATTTCTTATTGTGATGGGAGTTATGTAGAACTTAATTGCATCAAACTGAGAAGCTATTTTATGCATCAATATCTTGTCATGTGTTTTATCAGAAATAACATTTAGAGCAGGTGCAATTTATGTGTAGCTCATTAAACACGCATATGTAAGGAATAAACTATAATGGACACATTTCTTGCCCTGTTTATTCCCATCATCTAGCACATCATAAATGTAAACTGGCAGCATCTGACTGGGATGAATATATATTCACAGTTGAGTCTCTTCCTTTCACTACGCAAGCATTTCTTATTCAGACTATCGATATGTGACACTCCTGGAAACACCATTTCTTCACATATTTCGTGACCAATGTGTGTTTCCAGTCTCGACAACATGCCAGTTGCCCGATGCATCAAACTAGTGGTGACTGCAGATGACAGTGTGGAGTCCCCACAAAACCATCACAGATGAGCTGCAAACCAAAACCTTTGAAAGTGGAATCCTGTCAGATAACTCCTAGGCTATTTATATGACCTTTGCCGCCAGGTACATCAATAATCCTCAATTGGATATTATACAAAATAAGGACGTTTCCCACTCTACCAGAGAGTAGAATGTTGAAAAAGACAAGTATTAAATAGAGCAGTATTTCTCAACCAGGGGTACGCGTAACCCTTGGAGTACGTCAGCTCATTTAATAATTTATTTCACAGAGCTGCGTGTGGCAAAAAATCACAACCGCGTGTCAACCCAAGTGAATCATCAAAACACATGAGTGATGGGGTACACCGATGGAAGCCAAAAAAAGTTGGGAACCACTGACAGAGTTCTGAAGGTGACCTTTCTAGAAGTGTTAGTCAAAATTGAGCATTAATATCCATGTATGCTGTATTTCTGTTCCGGTTCTTATACTGGATCCCATGTGAATGTAACGTTTGCAAGTGCATTTTCTTACGATTTTCCCCAGTTTTAGAAATGGAGTATAATTTCTGTGTGCAACTGGGGAGGCTGCCTATAGATCAGAAGCGCCCCTACCCCAGCCAGCTATGCCTTTTTGTATTCCTGCAGGGGAAAAAAAACCCGAATAAGACTCCTGGGACATACAGCTTTACTGCCGGGTTTCCTTTCAGCCTTGCAACCTTGGTGTAATAACGTAACATCCATACTCGTTCTGGAATAGAGCTCTGTACCCTTTCAGTTGATATTCAATAATGCTTAATATTAATCAGTTATTCCAATTTGTTTAAATAAAAGACCCACATTATAGTCTTGAGCATTGCTTTTGAAAGCAATGCCAGTTTTCTCCATCTTTTGTGAAAGCTGTTAAGGCTTTGAACCAAACAAATTTTCAGTGGAATGTTGACATGCATTGATGTGCCCTCTTTTTCACTTTCAATGTGAGATGCGTCTCGAGTGGATGCAGCAATTTCATGGTCATCATTCTGACTCAGGAAAAGCACGCGCGTTACTAACAAGATTAACAAAAGTCCCGTTTCATCGAATGCTCCACTTTTTCAATGCAGATTCAGCTCACTCAGATGGACTGCCTCCATTGACTGTCTGACTGTTGATTGATTCCTTGTGCATTTATGATGATTTGATTGATCAAAATGTCAGCCCTGAAAGGCTCGGTTGTGCTGCACTGTCATTTGCAGGGAAGAAGAAAGATTATGTGTTTATCACGACATCCAGATGTGTGATCCAGTCTGGCTGGAATAAAAAGGAATTGGGAAATGTAGCAAAGTGTTACTGAGCTACTCAGCCGGCATTGTCATGGAAGGGGGCCAGGTTTTTGAGATTGACTTGCAAAACCAACCTGAGAGACACAAAGCATTCACATAAACTCCTCAGTGTGCCCGCTGTTACCATCTTTGAGCTCACAATTAGAATGGCGTCAAACCAACAAGATAAAACTACATGTTCTATCCATCTATTTTATGTTCGGCTTATACATGTTATCCCGTATTTTGAGTTCTGTTTTTAGCCTCCTCCCAAAAATCTGGTCTGCTACTTTGAATCTCAAGCATTAGAATTAAAAAGGGGTAAAACAATTTTGGTAACTTTTCCATCTGATGCTTAGCTGTTTATTAGTAACTGTGAGTGGAGTTTGCACTTGTACAAACCTGTATTTTACTGCATCAGAATGATAACTGTCTCTAATATTTAGGGCCTTTCGTGGGGACTTCCCTGACTCTATTCACCTCTTACTTCCATTACCATCACATCACAATCATAGATTTGATTCATACCATCCAAAAAGCAATATAACAACACACAAATGTTCCAGATACATCAGTCCAAAATCTGTAATAGCATGTCAGAAACAAACAATCAAAAAACATTAAATACATCACACTGCAGCAGAAATGCTGCTCAGGAAATGTACTAATGGGTGCCGCATGCAAGAGACTTGCTTGGCTTAGGCCAGCTAAAATGCTTGCATTAACCACCCAATCAGAGGATGGAACAATTCGGATGTTTCTGGGCCAAATTTGAAATCTCAATTAAAGTTAAAGGTTAAAGATACAGAGGCTGTGATTTGATTGGACAAAAAAAAAAAAAAAAAAAAAAATCTGACATCCACATCCGCCCTAGAAGGAGTTTAGCCAGGAGAAATGCTCCGAAATAATGAGAATTGAGTGGAGAAGGCCTTGCTGGCCAGATGGCTTGCCCCTGGAGTCAGTCCAGCTAGGTACCGGGTTCAATTCCAGCTCCGTCCTCCCTGTGTGGAGTTTGCATGTTCTCCCAGGGCCTGCGTGGGTTTTCTCTGGGTACTCCGGTTTGCTCCCACATTACAAAAACATGCATGGCAGGTTGATTGAACACTCTAAATTGTCCCCTAGGTGTGAATGTGAGCGTGGATGATTTGTCCGTCTATGTGCCCGGCGATTGGCTGGCAACCGGTTCAGGGTGTCCCCCGCCTACTGCCCGAAGACAGCTGGGATAGACTCCAGCACCCCCCGCGACCGTAGTGAGGATAAGCGAATCGGAACATGGATGGATGGATCGATATTAGTGTCAATCAACATTAATTTCTGTGTCGAGATTATTGCTACATATCTTGTATTGCATATCATAGCGCAAGTGATCATAATGGTCGATTTATAAATGCACACATTCATGCAAATGAGCACACATGCTTGCAGTCTGAAAATTAATGTGAAATGATCACAACATTTCACGAGAAGAGGTTAATCGTCATTGAAGTGAGTATAATGTTTTATTTTTGCACCAGCAGTTGTAGACATTGCATAATGTGCCATTGAGACGCACATCCTCCCAGACTGGCCGCACAAATGCAAACTGCGATAGAGGCAGCTGCAAGAACAAACAAACATCCATTTATCAGCAGCAGTCAATCAGTCCCCAAACATTTATTGCATACTTTGCGTTTGTTGCTTTTTAGACTCCTCAGTCACCACTAAAACATTAGAAAGTTGAAAATAAACACATCTATTCTTTTGCCGATTCACTGGGGGCAATGCCGTACTTGACTAAAAATAGATGGATTTCCAAAGCAATGCCGTGATGCGGTTGGACAATTCTCAGTTTACTGATTTTGCTGTTTCTTGTTTAATCTCATCTCCACTCGGTGACAGGACCACATTAAGAGATGAAAAATGAGTTGTCAAAATGGAGAAGGTAGAGAATTTGCAACAAGAACACTATAAAGGGCAAAGCCAGAATGCTCTTTCAAGATAAGCTTGAACAAGCAGTGTCATATCCTTTATTGCATGCTTTTAGCTGGGTGGCTGTTTGATTTATTTTCACTCCCATTAAAGATAATCAATGACTTAGTGATTGCTAGTTGCGTGTAGTTCCATTTTATGGAAGTTGCTGTAAAATGCTCACTGGCAACAGAGGCAGATGAAAATATCAATATAGACATCCTGTGTTGGCATAAACACACCATTTTTAAGTTCAGAAATATCTAAAATACTTTTTTTTTAGTTCTATGTGCATGTATTGTGAGCAGTTTCTTACTGATGGGAATGTTTTTTTGTGTGCTTTGTTTTTTATTTATTCCCATTTCTTTTAAGAACCATTGGATTCTAGATGTTCTAGTCTTCCAAATAAATGTACATGCTACAGTAAGAAGAACCCACAATACCATATGTCTTATTCCTCCTAATAAGCAATATATGCAGAAAAAAAGTAAACTTCAGAGCTGTAGGCGGAATACCAGCACTCAATGTTAAGTTGCACATTGTGGGGGATAGCCGAAAGACAACAAAAAAAAACTCAGCAATGTCTATTTTTTTTTTTTTTTTTTAGCTTTTCCATGAAAGCACAAGTGACAGAGCACAACGGGGGTTTTACCGCTGACGGGAAACCCGTCACACATGTCGAATAAAGCTGATAGAAAGCAAACTGAGGCCAAACAGTGGCAGATATGAAGTCAAAGTCAATAAAGAAGAGTGAGACATAATGGGAATTAAAGCTAAAAGAGAATTAGACGAAATCCACACTGTGAAAGAAAGAGCCTGCGAGATTTGACCTTGACGGTTGGAGGCAAGAATCCCAGTTCGTTTTCGTGAAAACATTAATTACTTCTGAAGCTTATGTCGTGGCCTGAATCTGCTTCAGAGAGAACCAGTGCTGACTATTTGGACTCTGGGCTGAATGCTCCCTGTGATGAAAGACTCTCCGCAAATAGTGTATACTTGTTTGGAACAGAAGCCTTACCCGACATG